ATACTTTATCAGAGATGGATGGCAAGCATAGAGGAACCTTATCTTGGCGTGCCGTGTTTCTGCTGTCCAACATTGCGGGGGTCTTCCACCATGATGTGACGCCGTATAGCCATTTGATCGAGCTATGCTTGAAGCTAACCGTTTTGATTCTTCACGTTCGGCTACATCGCTGCACATACTCTTGCTGTTTTGTACATGTTCTTGACAATAGCACGTTTCACAGCAGATGGGTGTGCAGATGTAGCATGAATCAAGATGTTCTTTGAGCTTCTTTTCAGGTACCACTTCACGTGTACGACGCCTCTGTTTAATTTGTGTGTTGAGATAGGGGAGCAATCATTCAGTGGTTTTTCTCGTGTGAGCATGATGTACGGTGACTGCTCATTCATTACGCGGAAACACTCATCCATTTCGGACTGTGTTGATGTTATGATGAAACAGTCGTCTATATATCTGCAGTACATCAATGGTAAGCGCTCTAGTACTGGTTCTTCGATTCTGCTCATAAAGCAGACCGCAAGTACTGGAGCTAAGCGTTGACCCATGGCTAAACCTCTGACTTGGGAGTAATACGAACCTGACCATTTGAAGATGTTGCAACCAAGACATTCCTTGATGAGAGTCATGATACACGCTTTACCTAGTCCAAAAGTCTCAATATCTCTACCATGCCTATCCAACATTTCGGATAGCTGTAGGGCTTCATCATTTTGAACATTGGTATAGAGCGAGGTGACGTCGAATGACTCTATTACACAACTTGAATCTAGACGCAAGTTACGCAATTGATCCAGGAATTGGTTTGTGTTGGACAGGTGAGAGGGAACCTTGGTCACAATACAGTTTAGAAACCACGAAATTCTGTCAGTTGGTCCACCCACGCAACTTATGATTGGTCGTATTTTATAAGTGTCCTTTCCCATTCGTTAGGCGCAAGTTTGTGGGGTTTCAGTAAGCCGTAAAAGACAGGACAACTTGGAGAGTGAAGCCTGAGTCCGCGAAGGAACCTTTCGTCAAGACCTGCAGATTTGCCTTCCCTCATCCACATGTGATTGAGAGCCTGCATTGTAATGAAAATTCCTTGGCTGTCGCCCGGCGGTAAGTATTTGTGGCTGATATCTTCTGTAAGCTCTCTACGAGGTCGTTGAAGCAGACTTTATTGGCTTACTTTTCGGCGGGGGTCCGGCTTTCCAATACAGGCGCTTTGATTTTAGACATGAAGGCTATAGTCCAAGGTAGGCGCCAGTCGTTGCCCCATAGCTAAACCTCTAATCTGCTCGAAATACCTACCCGACCATCTGAAGATATTGCAATTAAGGCACTCCTTGAGCACCGTCATCAGCTGGGTGATAGAGAGCCCATGCATATTGATCTCGCTGTGGTGTTCATTTAGTAGCTCGAATACGGCTTCCATAGCGGAGTCATTGCTTACGTTGGTGTTTGGGCTCTCTACGTCTACGACGTTACTGTCGCTATATCGATGACTGCTTCGTGGTCTGCTCGACGCAAGAGCAAATGGACATGTGTTTCGATCTCCTTAATACACCCAATCGGAGCATATAAAGCTGACACGGGAAAAACCCTCAGGAAGCTGGCTCCCGTTTCTGAACATTCAAGTTAAATTGCAGGGTGGCATGCTTTCTACGAAATGGTACAGGAAGCCCAGCAACAAGAACATCATCGTTCACTGTCAGTCAGCCCACCCTTCACAGACCAAGCGAGCTGTTGTGAGGAACATGTTCCGAACAGCGGCTAGAGTTTGCACTGGAGAGGATGAGCGCAAGGAATCACTGGCGATTGCGCGTGAAATAGCTGAGCTCAATGGCTACGGGAACCCTCCGACCTCCCACAGAGCAAGAAATGGCGGCCCGGGCAACAGACCCGGTGGTAATTTCCTCAATGGCAAAATCCCATTTATGGTACCATTTATCTCTGAGGAAGTTAGCATCTCCATTAGGAAGTGTCTGAGGAGGTCGGGTTTAGAAAACACAGTTGCCATTTTAGATGTGCCACCCAATAATCTGAAGCATCGCCTCGTACGCAATCGGCTCTACGACCGCTCATGTACCACCCCTAATTGTGTGGTCTGTCCGACCGGTAGGGAGGGTGACTGCACAATCTCAGGGGTGGTCTACAAGATCACATGCAGCAGCTGCGGGGACAAGGAACACCTAGACGGCAAAAACAACTCCCGCCTGTCAACTGCCTTAGGCGCCCATAGGGTTCGAATCCATAGCGGAGAGGATTTTGGGATCACGGCCGAGGTCATGGTCGTGGCGCGTAAAAAGAATATATATGAATATATAGCTGTGCGGATACTTCTCGCTGCCACGCGGATAGTTGTATACGAGATGATACTGTCCAACAATAACAATTTATTAAATCGTCTGTATAGTAACTCCAACAAATAACAGTGTTATTAGTAGACAGGAAGAGTCCAGGAACCAAGAATAAAATGACGAGAAAAATGAGCAATGAGAGCTCCTGTAGCATTTAGAGGCCCTCTATATACCACCCTTTCAGTCCAGAATCAATAAAATTGCGCGCGATTCCAATAGGTCGGCCACCCAATTGGAAGATCAAAGAGAAAATTTTGATCGCGGTGAGATAACCGCGATATTCCCCCACGCTAAAGGAACAGAAACAAAAAGTATGAACTCGGGTGCGGCGCACCAAATCAGTGAGGGACTCCAATGTAAGCTAGTTCACGTTGAAGGTCGTGTAGTTTATTCAGACATCTGATCCTCCCTTCGCGTGCGCTCTCCAGACGCGAGCGTATGTAATCACTGTGCTCCGGGAAATCACATAGTGAGCTGTGATGGCCGCGCTCACGGCAATAATAACATGGCGTGATGTATTTCTTACAAGTAGATCCACGTGAACACATTCGCTCGAGACACGTGGACATCGACCTGTACGTGTAATCATTTCCCTTCTTGCAAACGGGTCGCGTATTGTGGTACAAGAGTCTGAGTAATGAAGCCCTATGGCCTCACAATAGGCGCACTTCATATAGCGTTCGAACCCCTTAGTGATTTGCCCTTGGTTGAAACGCCGTGGTTTGGCAGAGGGGCTCGTTCTCGAACTGATGCAAGATTTCTTCAAGATCGCGAGCTGCCTGTTCAGTAACACGGATCTCTTCTTCAATGTGAATCGCACGTCTCTTTCTCTCTTCTCTCTGCGCAGCGTCCTGAGGGATATGGTTGCGATCCAACCCTTCATCATCCGACCCGCGCTCCTCCAGTTCTTGTTCTTCAGGTTTTTCCTCACTGTCTCCCGTCTCCGAAAGGTCGTCGTGAGCTATACTCGATATCTCGAAGTCGGATTAGGCGTGGCTCTGGGTTTGACGTGGTGGTTGCCGCACTTGATAGAAGTTGCGCGGATAAGATGCTTCCAGCATGCTTTGCTGATATCCAACGGAGTATGTTAGAAACAGCCTTCCTACGGCTCTATCAAGTGCGGCACGGCCACGTCAAACCCATAGCCACGCCTAATCTGACTTCGAGATATTGACTGTACGTTGTGGTCCAAATCTTCATCATCTGAATCTTAGACTCCTGCTTCTTGCTCCCCATCTTCTGCCTCGCTTTCATCCATTTCCATCACTCCTTCGATGAATCTTCGTTGTCCCTTATTACGTCGTTCTCTTCGCGAATCCTGCGGATTCCCTCGCCCACCTCTTGATTTGCTGCCACTGCCTTTTCGCGCAAAGGATTCATGACGGCGTCCTGTAGAACGAGGGCAAGCTTTTGTATTTGGTCGAGTCTGTCTCAAACTTCTTTCTCGGAGGTCAACTGCTCCTTTTCCGTAACGTTTCGAGCTTATATGCGTAGATCGTTGAGAGGATCGGAGGGAACTCAGCATCTGAAGTTGGTCCGAGGTGATGTCCTCCAGACTATCTATGTCCATTATCAGGGCTTTGTTGTGACTGACTTCTTGCGGTTGGCTCATAAGGGTCTCCCAGTACTGCTTCGTCATCTTGTCCATTGCTATGAGCAAGGGTGGAAGGGAGAAGAAAGTTAATAAGTGAGACCTATAGAAGCGAAATTGCAGATAGAGGTAATCAATTTCAAGCTTATCTCTGACATGTGTTGCTGTCTCGACTAAGAATGAACAGTTGGGTATAGTTAATGATCAGTATAGAAGACACGATCTTGTCATACAGAACACCAGGTTCCGGAAGAGGATGGATTGCACGCTCAGTTGATGAAGGCTTCTCTGTGTCTGATGCAACTGTTGCTTCAAATTTTCAACTTCGTTTACAGTTCTGAAATGAGACATCCATTTTTTCAGAAATCAAGCGCACTAATTTTCTGATTCGCTCCTCGGCTCCCATACTAACTAGTATGAACATGTGCTTTACAAGGCGACACCTATAACGATGAAGTTAACTTGTGAGCGCACGTTGACTCTGAGCGAGTTCTGTCATTCTAATATTGTTACATGCTCTTCAAAGTTATAATAATCATTAGAAGCTTTTTTCTCTTTGGATTTACGTACTTTTTTTGGCGTTGTTTCTTTTTTTATGGTACAAAACATTAACTTTGCACAACTGGAAAAATACTGTACTTATTTTTTTGCACATACTATAAAAACATTCTTCCACTTCTTGTTGTTTGCTATATAGTTCGCGCATGCACAGTTTAAAACAAATGACGCACATTGGCGTTATCTCAACGGTGTCGTGTAATGTATTGTAAGGACAATGTGAGTTTTTTTTCCTTCTGTCTGGATTATGCATAATGAATTTGCCATTGGTAGATAAATAGACAGCGCTAACCAAATGATGGTGAGTATACGTAGGCCAATGCTAGCTCCCAATTTTCTTTTGAAATAACGAAGCACTTTTGTTATTAACGTGGAAATTGGCGCAACTATCAATGGCTATGTATTGTAGAATAATTTTTCCTTGAAAAAGAGTTCTGTCTGAATTTCAACAAGGTGAACGCATCTGTGATATTTTGAGTATTTTTCAATCCATTTGCGCACGTATCAAGAGCTTGAGGCGCTGTTGTGATGTAATAGAACCCCTTCTTGGCGCATCCAAGACCCCCAGGAGGCGTCGCGCAACCCGAACAGACTTGGATAAGCGAAAGAATCATGATGTGGAAAAGAAACCATTTGGGAGTAAGGCGCCGAGCTTGTTAACCACTGTTGCCGTATTTACCTCCTGCGCGTCACTCTTTGGGGTTCGTGGTCTCAAGTTGTAAGGTCGTGTGCGCGCTCTTGATTTAGCCATCTCATTTTTACATGCCAGGTCGAGAAGGAAGGTCGGCACCTTTGTATCTCGCTGCTTCAGATTCTGTTCCTGAATTTCGACGGAATCAACAGATTTATGGGACGGCGTATTTTTCTTTTTGTGTTTGTGAGAAGCTCTGCTTCGCGCACTTCGCCATCACTACTGCGTTTCAACTCCGTTATGCGGCCCATTTTCCATTCGTTCCTTGGCACAGACAGAGTCGCTGTAACCAAGCAGTACCGATAGATGGGTGTTCGCTTTCCTGTCGGCGATTATTTATCTGTTTCCTGTGCGTTTCTCGTAGAGAAAGCAGGTACTGATGTTGCCAAATATTCCAGAAACGTTGCGCTTCCTGATTTGATGAGTGTAGCGCTTCTATGACCTGCCTCCGATATTGAAGCGGGCGTAACTCATCGGGAGGCAGGTAATCGGGATCACATTCGTCTGCGCTGGGGTCTTCGGGGACTGGTAACGTAAACGTTATATCTTTGAGTATGAAATGCATACTGGACGAATGGAGCTCATAGTTTCCATGAGGTTCTCCTTGATAGATGAGTGGCCTAGAGTTCAAAATCGCTTCTACTTTAGCAACAAAGGTGCAAATGTCGTCGAAGAAGCGCCCACTTGTGCCTCTTAATGTTTTGTAGATTGCATGCTTTATGGATTTGATAAGGCGTTCATAAAATCCTTCCTTGCCATGGGGCGTACGGCGTTATGTGGTTCCAACAGATTTCCTTATCTGCAATTCACGTCCGATATCTGACGTGATTTCCCTCCTACCTTAGCCCAGAATGCTTTTCGTGAGCAAGAAGTTTGGTGCATTGTCACAAGTTATTGTTTGGGAGTTCCCTGCGGCGATGAATTTAAAGGCGTATGAACTCTCAGTAGCCTATATTTCGGTACAACCTTTTAGTGTGGAATAAGGCGCGTGGTACAGTGCATGGCTGAAAATGCAACGAATACAATATTGATATTTTTTGTCCGTCTTCTTTTGTCAAGACGTTGAGCTCCGAAGAATCCAAACCTCTGTATTTGGAACGGGCGACATTCAAGCGACTCACCGTTGCTAGGAAGGCTCGTCATATCATGGTACGAACTGTAAGTGCGTTGAACCGTCGACACTGACCAGCGCACATACTTTCCTAACTTGCTGGCGCAGTTAGGGACCCAGTACTGTTCTCGTAAATTGCTAATCGTGTGCTCAGTACCCATGTGAAGATCTCCATGTGCTTCGAGAATTATTAGTCTGGGCCAATGGAGTATTGGGCGCAATGAAGAAGGGGCTTTTAGCCTCGTCATCACTGAGGTTTCTCGGTCAGCTTGCCCTTCGATTCTCCATAGAGAGTGGTGCTTCTTCATGAGCACCTAAAGGGTGTTTTCGCCATTGACCTTCGATTAGAAGTATATTAAATGCACAGATTGTATGTTGATTATAAAGACAGGGCGCCCTTTCAATACTCTATCCCATTTAGGGTACTTATACCGTCTGAGACGTCTTCTAGTTCTGGAATATTTGCGAAAATTCTTCCTCTGAAGTCATGACTTGAGTGGCGCACTAATCTCTTGATGAAACGAAGGACAACTGGCGGTTACTCTCTTCGCTGTGGTCAGCGAGCTGTACCGCTCCCAACAGAGTAACTCGTTGACTGATGAAATTTGGTTTCCTACTGGTGCATTGTTGCTCACAGCACGTCATGATGGGGTTCCCCTCCATGCTTCTCTATCTGCGAGGCTAGATATAAAAGCTGGTAGAGGTGTAGGGGTGTCACGGGGTGGTGAAAGAGAGATGGACGCGGGGCAGGATGATGTGGGTGGTGCAGGAGCTGCCAGCTTGGTAGGCTGCTTTGTTTCCTGGCATTCAGCCGTTTTTCCTGTGAGAGTGTTCAACGTTGAGGCGATATTTACGTGAGACTGCCTTCTGGCCTCGGATTGTCAATTCCTGGCGAATTTCGCTGCAATTTGTTGTTTATTAGCACTGCTCTAACTCTCGGGTGCACGGATAACTTAGCGCTGATTTGTAGTCAGAGAGGATATCTAAGTTAATCCATGGTAGAAAGCGTTAGCTGTCATCTAAGTCCATGGGTATGAAGGAGTACAGCATTTCACTGCTTGCGTGATAGAGAAGGCTAGGCGCACAGCCAAAGTCATTGCGTTCATTTCCAACTTCGGCATTGTTGTCGCTGTTTTTACCGATGGTAACTTTCCTTTGCCATTGCCAGTGTGGAAGAGAGTCCACTGAAGAGATAAGCGCATGCTGCAATTGCGTTCTCGCTGGCATCAGCGAAGACGGCCAGATTTAGTGGTTCGGTATGGTGTGTAAAGCGCCTAGGAAATAATCTTTTGGAATCCGTTGATATCTTCAACGATAGCGTTCCACTGGGCGGCGACTGGTGATGGTAATCTGGCGTCCCAGGTGTAGCGCTTGTTTCCATAAGTCCTGCTGGAACTTCTTTGCTGGCATCAGTAATGGCACAAGCCACCCCAAGGGGTCATAAATTGAAGCGATTTGACGCATGACTTCGCGCTTAGTCAAAATGCTGTGTGATGATGCCGCGCAAGTGATGCTCAGGCAATCGTTTTCCGAGTTCCAGGTAATCCCCAGAACTTTGTGTATGGTGGACCGCGTGTATGAGTCTTGAGGTAAGTTTTCGCGCAATGTGGCGTCATTGGAGAGGAATTCCCTCAAATTCATTCCCATCTCTTGGAAAATTTCGCGTGCTCTGAGAGATTTCCTTCTCGATTCCTCTTCGGTGTCCGCCGAGAGTATAAGATTGTCCACGTAAAGATTCTGACGGAATTTCTTCAGTGAGATCGCGATCATCTACTTGGTATCTTAGGTGGTGTTGTATGGTTCCGGCTAGAAAGGTATGGCGAGACATTCAGTCCGAATGTTACCCGAGTGAAGCGTAGCGTAACAATGTTGTCACTGTCGATCGGTGCGTTGGGATCCTTTACCCATAGAAACCTTGTTGCGTCTCTGTCTGTTTCTTGTGTATTTGAAGAAATGCCTTCTCAACATCGGATATAACGACGTACTTAGGAATCCGAAATCTTAATAGCATGGCGTACACTTCTGGGAGTATGAGAGGACCTTGATGAAGCACATCGTTAAGCGATGGGTTGTTTCTGAAGTGCGCAGAGGCGTCAAATACGATGCGCAACTTGGTGGTCTCCTTATGGGCGTAATAACCGGTTGATGAGGGATATAATGTATTATGGTGCTATCTGCGCAGGGTGCATCTGAAACCTCTCTATTATTCCCATCTCCTTCTGTTCTTTGAAAGTTTTGTCGTATGCTTCCAATAATGTGGGCGTATTTTTGAGAGATCCGATCACTGACTGCAGACGTTTGAGCGCAATAGCCTTATTAGTAGGTAATGGCGGGTGGTTCTCTTTATATGGGAAGCGCACATAATACCCATCTGCGCGTTTTTGAATTGTTTCCTCGAAAAATGCCGCAACTTTTGCATTGGTTGCTTCCTTTTCCGCGTTCTTTGTTCCTGTGAACTCGCATACGCCTTCAGAGTCTAGGGCCCAGTATTTTCCCATCTCTCCAACTCTTCATCAAAGTTAACAGTCGTGTTAATAACTGTTCGAGCAGTCATTTCTTGCTTATTTAACTCTTGCGTCCTCTTGGCGTCCTGTAAGCAAGTATCCAAGTTTGGACGGGACAAGCTGCAAACCTGTGACCCGTTTAATTTATTATACTTGTACATGCTTCTGTATCCACCGCATGCGCCTGTGCTGTAGCTGGCTTCTTGGGTTCTTGTTTCTATTCCACTGTGAGCGTTTCGCTTTTGCGCTTCCATCTGCGTTGGTATGGTGTGTGGTTCCTTTCAATGGTATTCTTTTCTATGGTATTCCATCTGCGTTGGTATGGTGTGTGGTTCCTTTCTATGGTATTTGATCGTGTTAGTGTTGTAGTCATTGATTTCGTCCTTATTGGACAGAGGGTGTGATGGTGCTTTTTGCCGTCACATAACCTACACCCTTCCTTGGTGCAAGCTTTTGTGAAATGACCTGGCATACCGCAGTTCAAGCACCTATCTTGGTCCAAAAATATCTTCTTCCTGTCTTCAAGTGAGGCGTACTTGGTGCATAACAAGGATTTGTGGTCGTTAGTAGGCGCAGAAAATACAAGAATATGCTGCTTCTTTGCGCATATTTGGCCCCATTTTCTGCACTAACGGCTTTTGTGTTTGGTCGATTAGGATTACTGGTTCTTTGCATCATATGCCTGATTTGCTCCTCTGTCTCTATGATCTGACCTAAGTCCTTCAGTATGTCCTGCATGATCCATGTATGCTCTTCAAGCGGCGTTCGAGAACTTTTCTTTGAATGTCAGGTTGAAATTTCGAAAGTACCTTTTGAGTGATGAACGAACCATTGAGCGAAACTCCTCGCTCCTCCAGTTGGGTCACAGTAGGCCAGATGTACTCGAGGAGACTTCGCTGTCCTTCGAGGGTTGGCTTTTCTGCGCGTGCTTTCTCCAAGCGCGTTTGTAAATGGTCTATTAGCCTTGATTTGTCCCCATACTTGGCGTGAAGGAAGTTGATAGCGTGCGTGTAGTTGTCAGCGGTGACAGTAAACCTTCGGACGCACTCTTGCGCTTCACCCCGCAGCGCCTTAATGAGATAGTTGAATTTGAGGAAGTGGGGAGAGGGGTTGACTGTGAATGTTGGCGTCGAAGAGCGCCCAAAAATTCTCAAACTCAACCAACCTTCCTGAAAAGGTCGGAACTGGTACGGTGGGAAGCTTTGGCCTGGTGGCCTCAAGGCGTTCCATCGTGGAGGTTCCGTAATCAGTGCTACGCCAGTCCATTTGTATACGGTTCTGCGCACTGATTGAGTTGCCTTCTATTTTGATGGCTAGTGCTTGCGCTTTTTCCAGCGCTTCATGGGTCTTTTCCACGTATTCCTGCGTTTGGACCTCTTGTTCTTCCGAGAGGGGTTCTACCAGTGCATCAATCGATGCTGTGAAAGTTGACAGCGCATCCTCCACTTGTTTTGCAGTGGCCCTCAGTTGAAACATTGACGACTCGATTTTCAGCAAAGCCTCCGAATCCCGTAAAATTGAAGGACTTATGGTATCCAGGCACTTGCACCCCTCAATGATCCCATTTAATTTATTACAGTAACGGAGCGCTTTTTGTGATCGTAATGATGGGCCCAACCATTCTTTGTGCAGTGGGACAATACTTGTGATCGACCAAAAAAAATCTCAATTATTATGAGAAGTTTTGAGAGAAGCCTCACTCAAAAAAACGTTTGGCGCTCAACCTAGTGAAAATGACGTTTAAAATGAGCCCTTCTAATAGAAAAAAGGTGCACAGTAAAAATCTTTCTATGCTTCTTAAGCCTTAAGAAACAGGCTTCAATAAAAACCAGTAGTGATTGTGCAATGTCAAAATGAATAAATCAATCAAGTCAAAAAGAATGGGCAACTGCCGGCGCCGTGCGTATCCAGAGAGAACCGGAGGCGCAAAAAATCCCCAAAGATTTCGACGGCGCAAAAGTTTGGAGATACCAGCGACGTTCAACAGTTGAAAATTCAAGTGAAGTTTCAATCTGAAATCCCACCTGCGCTTCTTCAGGGCCGAAGTCCGATATGTCGATGCACCGTAAAAATAATATCCTTCTATTTTATAAAGCGCTAACTTTGTGTGTCGGTTTGTGTATGTCTATGTGTGTGTGTGCGTGTGTGTGTATGTATGTATGTATGTGTATGTGTGTCCGTCCGCAAAATGAAGTGAGTGAGAAGGAAGCTCATGGGATAAACAAACCGCTAACAAATCGGGTAGCTTACAGGATTTGAGATATCAATGTTTTGTAGCAGGATATTGTGATAACACTCTTACGGCTATATAAACACCACTTAGCACACTTTCGGTCATTCCACAAGGTGATGCTGTGGTAGCCGGCGAGCAGAGGAGAACGAGGGGAGAGTAAGGAGAGGAGGGAGAAGGGAAAGCTTACGCAAGGTAGGGAGGTTCCGGCGCTTGCCGGGGGACCAATCTGGCATGTGAATATATAGCTGTGCGGATACTTTTCGCTGCCACGCGGATAGTTGTATACGAGATGATACTGTCC